CATACAAATGATCAGGTGATAACAAGCAGAAACAAAAACATGAGCATATGGCACAAATTTGTGGTTCATAGTACTACACAAGATACAGAATGAACAGAGCAAGAGCACAGAAAGCAAAAGAACATGGAAATATCTACTTAACACGCATGTGATATTGCACTCAGAAACTGCTCCAAAAGGAGCCCGCGGGTATCACCGGGTAGCAAGTTCCAGAGCTCAATAGTGAAGGAAAAAAAACTATACTTAAACAAATCAGTTTTGGGGTGAAGTGGCGTAATATTTAGCGCATGTTGACTCCTGGTGTGAACAGAGGGTGGTGTGGCAAACTGCAGATACCTGTGGAACGAGGGCAAGCGCGGCGAATTAATCAAGGTGTACAGGAGCTTTAAGCATTCTGAATGGCGCCTGGCAGATAAAGGAGTTAAACCCAAAGGTGCTAAGTTGGACGTAGGCGAAAACTCCCGGTCATATCTTCGGCAGATAAAACGGACGGCTTTTTTTTTGTATGGATTCTAGTTTTGCAATGTCGGACGCTTTGTGTGGATTCCACACGACACAACCGTATTCGAGTAATGGCCGTACTAACGTTTTAAATGTTAAGAGCTTGGTTTCTTTTGGTGCTACACGGAGAACGCGCTGTAAGTAACCTAATCTCTTCAGGGCTTTATTATACGTAATATCAATGTGTATCAAATCAAGGACACGGGCCTCAAGCATTCTGGCCTCCATCGAAAATGCCGCCGCGATTCAACCACGCGAAGTGCGGCTCAGCAGGCCAGTGCCACTTGACTACCGTAGCGGGTTACACTGTCGTTGTTGGGCCTCCAGGTACGACCTGCTTTATAACGGTCAATTTGTTGCACTCAGTTATGAAAGCCTACGAAAGAAAATGTTTGTAGGTTACGGAAAGTGTCTTACGCGCACGGCCGGTGGCGGCAGCCCGTAAGCGCACACACGTAGACGTTGCCGCATTGGTGCTTGTGCGCCCTTGCGAAGAAACAGAGTAGGTTTTCTGCCAGAGCACAACAGGCGACAGTCACGCACCTACGCCGTTTTCCGCCAAAAGAATTTAATGCAGTGTATAAGCCATCAATGTCAACTTGGTGAAAAGCTGTGGGTCGATATGATCACACCCCCCCCCCCCCCAAAAAAAAAAATTCTTGCTACACCACTGGCTCGTTGCATCAAGCACCAATTTATGTATTTGTTATCAAAGACAGCCGCCTGGTTTGAGCGTCATGCAAAGCTTACGACTAACATTTCTGTGCGCATTGCCTCTATACGTTACGCAAGTAATGGCTTTCGTTATCGCTTTCAGAGAATTCCACAGCTCGGGGTGTAATTCTTCGTTGAACAAATTTTCGGTGGTGCCAGCTCTTATATGTGGCATGACTAGGGCACTTCAGTATAAAAGACTTCTTACAGTCTAGCTCTACACACTAAAGAATACAGTCAGCGGGCTGTCGCTGACGTAGTAAACAGGCCACTAAAGACCGCGACGGTGCTCATGCGCCCCCACCCCCTCTCGTCACCTAACTCTAACGTAATTTAAATTGTGTGGGGCAGAATTAAATCATCTCCTTCTCACCGTATTCTCCGCGTCAACTATGTGGATTACCTTTGGGCTTCCGTAAGAGAGGGAGCCGCTTAAGCGTGATTCATCCTTCGGAAGCTCTGTACAGGCCTCCGCCTGCAAGGTTGAAGAACCTACTCGACGCTTGAGGCGACATCACCCTATACTGGACGAAGCTTTTCATTCTACTATCGTTAAGAGGCCGTAGATCTGGCCTGGTTTATGTATTGTCACAAAAATAAGACGAATGAATTTTCTCTTTTGTGATTACCCTAATGTATAGCTTTACTCACTTCATTTTTCATGCACGCACATATTGAAGTAACGCAGTATTTTTCATAAAAGTGTATGTTATCGCTGTTCCTAATATAAAGCTTTCTTATACGATGCTTCAATATTCAAAAACTTACACGATTTAGAACGTTAACACTGATTCTTGCCGGGATGTAGCAAGCCAGAGCCAGGACATCATAAGGGATCACGCCGTATTGATCCTTCGAAATTATTTCATCCTGTAGTGTTTTTCTAACTCGCTACGATGGTATTGGGCCCGAGAACATTCCGTGGCGCCACTATGTGGAGACGTTCATGTGACGTACGTGGTTGAATTGCTCCGCCACCCTCTCGCGCGCAGCCCGCAGCCGCTTTCGCGTCTCCTCTTTTTATTATTATTTTTGTGTTACTTCACTCAATGGAATCAGTAAAATACTGCCGCAGCTTCATGACTGTACGAAAATCTAAATAACTGCCTGGAAAAGTTTCACGATTTTCGTAATGCCTGAATGCCCGCGTCGTCTGCTATGGCCAACTGAATGAAAACCACGGGTACCGAGCGCGCCACCTCTGTAAAAGGTGGCAACTCATTTGGTGTCGAATTGAAGTATCAAATAGGTAATAACGGTAAAGAAACTTATCTTTGCTGCAAGAAATGCGTGCAACCACGCTACTTCTTGCAGTGTGGGTTTGCGTCTAAAGAGGGCTACGGTCGACATGACAAGCATGCGCGAACTACAGCTTTGTTTTGCACACAACCCTACGGAGCACAGCGCAAGCGGATTCTGCGCTTTGTGGGAAGCATCACAGCATTTTTACAGCCGTAACCTTTATGTTATCATTGCGGGCGATGTGAGAATCACGCACGCACGTGCCTCATTCAGACTTGTAACGTTTCTTTGAGGCACGATTCTAATATTTATTGCGCAAAATTTTTATAGTAGTCACACGCTGCACATTCGATTGCCATCGAGCCACACATGGGTGAAAGTTATTAATGATTGTTCAAGCTCCAGAGCTTCTTTAAAAATGTAAATCATAATAAAAATGCGATCAGGCAGCCGTATTATTTAGCGCCCTTGAATATGCATGCTTCGATGTCTTGCGTACGGAGATATAAACGGCAATTTCATGTTTCTCTAAGATAGCCAATATGCATTTTTTTTCTTTCTTTTTAGAGCTTAATTCATGAGCTGTGTTACATTTCACCGCAGCTCTTAGATGAATTAGGTCTCGAAGCTGACCAAGTTTACGCCTGTAGATCAAAACAACATTGACAGGAAGTGACAGTGGCTATGGGCGCATTCTTCAGACGTAATCTATAAGCAAGGAGTTAGACCTGTGAGCTGAAGTCGCAGACAGCAGGGGCGTTGGCAGAATTTTTTTTCAGGCGGGGCACCAGCTTGATTATACAGTTGGACCCGAGCAGTCAGAGGTGGTACATCATTATTTCGTGCGCATATACCATGGAATTATTTTTCCATGGGGGGGGGGGGGGCACGGGCTTGGTGTGTCAGCTTCTGGCTACGCCACTGGCGGATGGAAACCCGTGTGGGCGGGTACACAAACGGGGACGGACGACCGAGGAGGAGGATAATGGTGACGCAGACTGCGGTAAAGGTTACCTTGGCGAGAGAAGCAAGCTTCAGCAAAGAGTAGAGCGGCACATGTATGATGTAAGAAAGAATGTTTCGTCGAACGAGCTGGCCGAACACGCAGAAGCAACTGGGCACGAAATAGACCGAGATAGGGTGAAAATAGCGAAAATAAAGGGAAAAGGATTGGACTTGCGGGCTGTCTTGACTCTCTGTCAATTCAGACAATGGCCCACATTTTTCAAGCTAATAACGGCAACTTTTCTTACGTGTACGCTTATACGTCCTATTTTAAGATATACATATTTGGACCGTTTCACATTCATTTTTCGTTGTGAATGAGGCTCACGTGCGGAAACTGAAACGATCTGTTTTTATGTGAACATTCGTGGTCTGTGCTTATTTTAACCCCATGTGCTCGAAATAACAACCACAACAAAGAAGGAAAAGTGGCAGTGGCATCGCATACGAAGTGAACTGTGGCACACCGCCGGTAACTTTTATTGCGACTTTTCACATTGTGTAGTCTTCAGAGGTCCACGCGCTATAAGTCAGAGCAATACAACGCTGTTTGAAAATGAAAACACCGCCAAGTCGCGGCTAAAACAACGCATCCAACCACCAGCTTTCCTTCGCCAGAGCGAGGCGAGATCACATGATCACACCCTGCACATCACAGTGATTGCAGCGCTGGCGCCTCCAGTGGTGGGCCTCACACTCAATAGGGGTTATGGTGCTCGACTGCTGACCTGCAGGTCACGGGATGAAACCCCGGCCGCGGCAGGCTCATTATCGATAGAGGCTGTAATATTCGAAGCCCGTGTACTTTGACTCGAACCCCAGGTGGTTGAAATTTCTGGAGCCTTCCACTGCGTCGGTTCCACCACTGTTCTTCGATGTTAAACTCCTACATTTATTGGTATTGAACGTTTAATAACATGATTTTAAATATAATCGCAGGTCTTTTCATTGTATATCACCTTTAATCGAAATTCCACTACGGTGGATTTGAATCGCATCATTTCAGAACTGGTGAGATGCCACAGCTAGAAACCAGCTAAACCTTTTGTGTGCCTGCTGAATACCTGAATAGGCGCCGGCAAAACAGAGCGGTGGCATGAATCGCTCCACAGAAAAACGAAAGCGCTCAGCAAGCGCAGGGACGGTAATAGCAGACGAAACCCGACTGGTCCATACCAGCAAGATTTGCTTGGGTCAAGCATGGTAAATCATCAGTGGCCAAGCTGTCCATGCTTGAAAACTTATTAGAGGCCAAAGACTGTATGTGCTTGAGAAGTGTGACTAGCCTACCATTGGCCAAACACAGGAAGGCCGTGCTTGGAAAATCATCCCAAACACCCCTTTCCATGGTTGGCACTGTGTTGGAATATCATGCAATAGCCAAGCAAGTTCTTGGCATGGGAGCCAAGCATTTTGGCCAATGCGATTTCTGGCTCATTTATTTTAGTGTTTTTCTTGGCTACAGTTTAATGCCCGGCTTCTTTTTTCTAGATTTTTGATGCCCCCCTCCCCCTCCACGAGAAGTAACAATACAAATATTTTTAGTGCTTCAGGTTTATTTTACACGTAATATATAGAAGGCAATATGCCGTTTTTCCATTTCGCGAACTCTTCTGATTCTGAAGTGTTGCTTGGGCTTCTCTTGAAGTCATCTATCGTAGCGGCATGCTTTCTCGCATAGGTGCATCTTCTTGATCTGAAGCAAACATGAGCCATCCTTTTGCTACGTCCGAAACAGCTGCGTCAGTTTTGATGAACAGGGTATGTCTCATCTGGAAAATGGGAGAAAAAAAAACATCATGAGGTCTTTTTTTTTAATAATCTATCTCTTAGGCAACCACTTTCATCAATTTTCAACAAACCACAGAGTAGGAACATTTGTTGGGAAACTAATTGGTTATGCATGATTATGAGGATGACAGCACCTGCACAGACGGGAAGAAAATACTTGTTGGACTGCATGATGCATTTTAATTACTAAAGTAGTGTGCAGTCATGACACATCCTCATTAATACAAAAAAATGAAGACAAACAATTAAATAATCTCTTTATCTTCGCACAATCTAGAGTTTATGTTCTCTGAATTGAAAAAAAAGGTATTTTTTTACTGCTAGCATTCTGGAAGCAGCATTGGCACAGAAGCACTGTTTAGTGACCTTGTTTTTTTTTGTTGTAAGTACGTACCTTTATATTTATAAACAGTTGTTACTGAGGTAGCCAATGAACCTTTATTTACGAAGGTTATTTTTGTCATGTAGCTTCTGTTGTCGATGCTTTATTTTATTTTAATGCTCAATATTGAGCACTCCTGCCGCTTAGTTGTGCAGCCAACTGTTTAAACGATGAAATTGGTTATGTACTCTGACTCCCAGCTCCCACAAATTGGCAAGCCGATAGAACAGGAAATAAGATTATACAACATTTAAGTGGTGAATATGGCGGCAATGAAACTGTTTCAATGCTCAATCTTGCTCCAGATGGCAGAAGTTGTTTTTTTTTTTCAAAAGGGCAGCATATATAAACTGAAAAAACAGTTGTATTAGTAGGTCAAGTTTTCAAACAAACATCATTGATGCGGTATGTGCAATATTTTGGTCCTAGTGAAACATTTTCTAAAGAACAGCAACCAAAATACCACAGCATCAAGAAGTCTACATAACAAAAAGCCATAAAGATGTTGCCAACGAAAGGCGAAGCAAAACCAATTTATTTGTTTTCTGTTGATGCTCACCAAGCAGAAGCAGCAGCACGTTTGCAGGCTTTTAAATGGAAAATTGTTCTCGGCGGCCCAGCAGTGCTTCTTTGTAACCACATTAGTACAATATGATGAAGTTTCTGTGCACAGCGTATTCAACGCTGCGGACGTTTTCTGTGAACAAATAGCTGACCTGTAAAAAAAAGCAATACAGTAATTGGAAAGTTCATAATTGTAACACATGTTAAGAAGCTTTGAAAAAGTCTTACTATATGCAGTTGTTGTGGTGCCAACAGAAGGATAATTTTGCTATAACAAAACAGCATCAATTCATCAAAATATTCATTGCACATTCTACGAAGTACTTGTAGGGCTGACAAAAATATGCCTTATTGTAAAGAATTGTGATTAAAATTCTCGAAACCCAGTAAGTATTAGACCCTAATATTTCTTGTAAACAGCATTTTTAGGGTAAATTTGATAAAGTTTTTGTTGGACAACTGGAAGAATCGTGTGTTTTTGTGTAATTTATAAATAGTCTGACAAGTGGCACTCACTCCACGCAAGAAAATGGAACAGATATACGTTACTAATAATACATTTAGCTGATGATAGATCATTTATGACAGATTATACAAAAACAAAATTTGAAGAACGCATTACATTCAGAATATCATCACTCGCCAACGTTGCGTACTTTTCTAACATCTGAAATGACAACTTTTTCAATATCGATAAATCAAATCACGAAGTCGCTGAAGCTAAAACTTTATCATAACATTTTTTTTTCAAAAGTATTATGCCACTAAAGTAGACCCAACAATAGCGAGGAACCTTACTGAGTCAAAACATTACGTAAAAAAAAGGTAATACAGGCGCGGCTGAATTTGGATGGTAGATGACCAGTGACTTTCTCGCATTCGGCACCAGCATTCATATTTATTTTACCTTTTAAAAAGCATGACCACACGCACAAGTTTATAATTTCGAATTAATTAATAAAGCACTGGCGTTATAACCCTAAATCGCATGGCGCGTAAGCGAGATGCACTCGTCGTCAGTGACTGGCAGTCGCGCCAGAATCAAACAAGAAAGGGCCACGCACTACGCGTCAACATACACAACAGGCGGCTGGGTGCCTGTCCTTCTGACCGGGTCGTTTCAGTTAATTTCAAGTTTTCACCAAAAACAGTGTATCGCGCACTCACTTAAAAAATACGCCAAATTGAATCGATGCTCTAACACTGTACCGAAGAGCGTTTCCAATATGTCTGGTTTTCACTTGTAACAAGAGACTGTAACTACGCCATGTGATGTGCGATCTCGCCGAGACGAGCTATAGGACTACAGCTGGGACTACGAAGCGCCCGCTTCTTAACACATGCGCTATTTTGGCCGCCGTAAATCTGACAGCCGATTCGCATATGGCACTGAGAGAACAAGGGCAAATACAAGGGCTGCTGATATTTGCTCAACTCCTATTTTCACTTGAATAAACAGCTCATCGCTGCAAGGCTGTGACGTCCATCAACGTGCGAACGAGGTGAAGACGGCGCGCAGTCATAGACGTAACACACGGTGGAATGTGAAAGCGAGCATAAACGGTGCATGCGTGTATACTGGCTTAAAGCTATATTAATTGAAATATTTTTGATGACTTTTGTACTATTGCGTATGTGCTTTAGAGCCGTTCCAGTTTGTGGGCTTCTGAAAATGGCCTGTCTGGATGATTTGGTAAACTATTTTCTTAAGCGCAGTAGGGCTGTGCATGGGCCAAACAGCGCGCGCGCGGTAAAGTGTGCAGTTTAAACGCCACACAGTGCACTTGCTAGTACACGTCGCTCCTTTGGATCAAAAGAAAAAAAAGGTATTCTGTAGAGAAGCCAGTGCGAACTGAATATATGACTGGAACAAATGAGCGTCCGTGGCTCTTCGGTAGCTGTTCATCTGACTTTACGACAAAGTGACCAAAGAAACGGACACATCCGCTCTAACTACTTTACATTTTTACCGCTTGCACGTGTTCGCATGCCACGAATTTCTGTCGAATAGATATATAATACACAAACGTCAGAAGGCTAGATGAACAGGCAAATTCAGTGAGCATTTGCCAGTAACCACGGTTTAAGTCAGGAAAGCCCTTGGCCTCCATGTTAAATATCACAGGTAATTTGCAAAACTTTTGTTTCGTTTTAATTATTGAGAAGGACAAACAACTAAGAGAAACGCACACTTTAAAAAAGAAGACTTGAGGCTTTCGCTGCCATCTCGCCATTATTTTGCTTGCAGGCCACGCCCTTTTCGGTCACGCTGTCCGGGCATTGGCCAATGATAACGGAAGCCGGTGGGAATCCAAGCTCTTTCCAATCATCGGTCCTCGGCCACTGTGGCCGTCGCTGCTGCGACCTGGTGAGAATAGCTGGTATGCTATATTCACCTGGTCAAAATAAACGCTATTTCACCCAACTTGGCTTGGATCTAGGCGGATTTGTGGAACATTGCGGCTTTTCGTCAATGTTTACAACGCCAGTTCAGGCAACCTATATAGAAGCTTTTCTTTTGATGAAGGCACATCGACCGTATTTTTTTCGTGTTTATGGTCGGCTTGGTGTTCACGTCGTTGGCGCACACTGTGATTGTGTTTGTCGTTGCAATGTGCTTTGTGAACGTGAATAGTTAGATTGTGTTCGCGTTTGGAACCGTTGAATTTTGTGGTTCACCTAAGCTTGCGTGAAGGTCACAATGTCTAGGACTCGTGAACCGGTTTCAGTGCTCTTTGACATCCGTGATATTTACTTCTGTTGTGTGTGAGGTGGTGACGATGTGGTAGTCCGTGCGTGTTGCCATTTTTGCTGGGTGGGCTTGTAGTTTTATGGTTTGCGCGGCCGTTCAGCAACCTGCTCCGATTATTGCGCTTGTTCATCGAATACTTCATTTTACATGCGTTGTAGCATCGAACTCATATTAGCTGAGCTGTTAAATGCGCGGTACTTTAACCACTGCATCATTCAGAAAAGCTGCCGACCATTTCTGATTTCAAAGTACAGGCATCACACAATATAATTTCTATGGCTATGCAGTCATCAAAGTTTCTTGATTGCGTTAGATGCGAAAATGAGTCAATCACGGTCCATAAATTCAACTTCAATAGAAAGTGCCAATGTTACACCCGCATGCTCAATCAAGCCTCGTTATTCGCTTCCATGGCTGCACGAGCGATGAAAAAACATTCGACTCTGAGCGTGCGGCAAGCACCCCAGCGTTTCTGCGCATGGAGCAACATATGGGGCTGCGGACTAGTTGGTATTTCATACTGCAAACTGCTCAGCGGTAAACACAGCAGCACAAGTGAGACGAGAATTAGCGCCGACATCCAACTGAAATTTATCTCAACTCCCGAATGTGTTGCCTACACCCGAGATAACAACAACATGCTTATGCTGAAAACAAAAAAAAAAATCGAAGTAAAGCATAAAATCACAGATACCACAAAAAAACAAAAAGCGGTGACATGGAACATGCCAATGAATTCAGGTAAGCCAGTTCTTTGCAGTCGAAAATATTGAAGGTTCTGGGTGCCATCATGAGGATGAGTTATAAGAACTTATGTTTTGTCAAGCAGGCACTGGCAATTTTATTTCTAATTATGAGAACCCAAAGAAACGTCTCTATCCATGTAGTTTACTTTTTGCAAATTTCTCTGTAACCATAAGTTTAGATACTTTCCCGTTTTACCAATGCAATGAATAAGCAATCTCATTTATGTGATTGAACTTGTGATGTTGAAAGAGCTTTGAACCATAGCCAATCTATGCACGGCAAAACTTTGTTGACTGTGCAGGAGGCATCGATTACAGCATATCTTGGTTCTGTGGACACAGTTATGTGGGTCAGTGAGACAAGTGCCTAAGTATACGGTTGCAGGAACATTGTCAAAAGGTAACAACCATAGACAGAGATGGTTCTTTGGCTTCTGATTGTTGAGATTGTGGTTGCCAGCCTCTGTTCGAGAAAACGGAAGCTATTGCAGCTCACCTTTATGATAGCACCAGGATTATCATTGAGGTTGCATTAATAGCTAAAGGAAGCTGGTGACATTAAACCTTCGATGTTCCTACCTGTTAAAGAACTGGCTTACCTGTATTCATCATCATGTGCTATTTTGCCTTAGTTTTTTTTACAGTTTGTTTCAGTGCACTTTCACTTAAGTTATTTTTTTATACCATAAGCATGTTAATATTTTGTATGTGGGCTATATATTGTATGCTGTGTAAAATTTCAGTTGGAAGCCTGTGCTTGTCCTCGTGTCAATAGTGTTGCTTTATCTGCAGTTGTGCTGACTATTTTCCAATCTCTGCACAGATGCATTGTATGCATGTTGAAATCGACACAGCGAAAAAACGAGGACGCAGGAAGAACAAATACACATCACTGCGCCATCTCCTAACTAACCTTTTGCGAAAGCACACCATTATAAGGAAACCGAAAGTATCAAACTCCCCTGATCTGGTGGACCACAATCCCAGAGTTTAGTCCTGAAAAGGCTAGCATGGTGCCGAAATTTGATGTAGAGGAGGGGATGAAAAACGTCAAGTCATGTAATTTGAAAGGCCTTTTTACTACATCTTATATATGGGACATTTCTTGGAGAGATTTGTCATTAAAATTCGAGAGAGATGATGATACCGACATTCAGAATGGCTAAAATGCGGATGCTGATTACAAAATAAAGAACATTTACTTCATTGGTAAGTTCTGGCTGCATGGGGTGCTTGTGGAACAAAAGCTTTAGACCAATTACATCTGTGTGATTTGCCTTAGCACGTTATTAAGAGCAAGAGGCAAGAAATAAGTGCGAGTGCAATTTAGCGAAATGACACAACTTTCTGCCATTTTCACCTTATCTTTTAATTATGGTGCTCCTTATTTCTTTCTCATAAAGAAACTGCATGGCAGAATTCAGTCTTAGCAAATGCAGCGCAGTCCCAGCTTAATACAGTCTACTGTACATAATTTTTGTAGAGCATGCAGTGCTGTAAAAAAAAAAAAGCTTGATTGAAGCTGAAGACGCAGGATGTTTTGCCTCAGTGTGTATCAGAAGATGCTCAGCATAGACACATAATGAAAAATGACTGGAGAAATTAGTTATACCAATAGAAAATAAGTATACTCAGCAGGGCAATAATG